TGGCCAAGATGCAGAGCCAGAAAATGTTTCTGAGGAAGAAAAAGTAATGGCACTACCTGAAAAGGAATTCAAAAGAATGATGATTTTGGTCCCTTCAAAGGATTGACAGGAAAACTCTAAAAGAAAAAAACTGCCAACCAAGAGCTGTATATCCAGTAAAGCTGTCCCTCAAATATGCTGAAAAATTAGCATGCTTCCTGATAAGCAGAAATTAAGGGAATTTGTAATGATCAGACCAACATTACTATAGGGTGTTCTTTGGACAGAGAAACGATAGCAGAAACAACCTGAGATTCCCATACATGACAACACCACCCAGAACGCAATCCAAATACAGAAGTCTTAAAAGTAAAACAAACCTACAAGGCTGAAAATAGGGATCCACAAATATCAATGTACAGTGAAGACAACTACAAAGCAAAAAGAGGGAATAATATAGATACAGAACTTCCAAAAGGCAAGGAAGTCAAATAGATTTCAAGACACAACAGATTGTTTTGATTAGGGGAAAGATTAATAAATTACAGGGTAAGCTCAAAGAAAATGAATACACCTGCACATTAAAATTTTTAAAAAGAGGAAAATCCAAATGATGTAGTAAATATTAACACAACAGAAATGAAAATGCAAAGAAAACCCACAAACAAAATGAACTCAATACAGAAAATTATGTGGAACAAAGAAGCCAGCAAGAATTATTTTGAAGCTCCCTCGTAAACCTTGCATTCCATGATGTATTTGTTGTTGTTAAAGTGCCACTGAGTTGATTCCAACTCAGAGACCCCACATAGGGTTTCCAAGGAGCAACTGGTGGGTTTGCAAGTGCGTAGTCCACACCAGTACCATAAAACAGCAAACCTAAGACTCTACTGTTATCCAGACTTACTAGTTGAACAAATAATTACCCTAACCTCAACTGGGGGAAAAAAAAAAACAAAAAAACGAGTAGGGATTCAGGATGTGGATGGAGGCGCTGTCCTTTGTACGATGGGACACCCTGTGGGGGTCAGCTGAGGCTCCTGTGGAGCAAGTCACCACGGAGAGCTGAAACTAACACCACAGGAACTAACAGCATGGCCTGGGTGAAGCTCTCTCTGTCCTGGGTCCGAGCTTGGGTCAGGGAAAACTGAAACTGACCTTCAGGGACCAGGTTTCACAGCGCACTCAGCTATAGTCCAGCACATTAACTGCGTTTTAATTTACTAAAACCCCAGGTTACAAGTTTCATTTCAAATACTGTCTGGACAGCGACACTTGATACTGACAAACGTGTATAGGATTCTCTGGAACGTTCCAAAGATGCTGTACACAGAAAAGGATCTTCATTCTCTTCGAAGCACCATCTTCGAAGGAACGTTCTCATAAGACTTCTGTAAATGTACCCTAAACAAGAGCTGCTTATGAACCATCACTTGCTAGATTATAGGACAAGCATTTGTAGGATCTAGGATGCACTGGACAAATATGGTCATTATAAGACTTTGGATTTTAGTATCAATAGACACCTTTGTGGTCAGATGCTCATTAAGTGTTTATTTTGGAAAGCGACCTACGAAACCTATAACCTGGAATGGAGCTTGACTGGACTGTCCATTCAGTGCATGGAATGTGTTCAGCTACCTTCTCAACTTTCGACAGCACAGAGCACTTAGGGTCTCTTTAATCCCCCAGTCCTATGAGAAGAAAAGCAGCCACCATGCTAGATCAAGAAGGAAAAAAGGAGAAATTGTTCCATTTTGGGAGTAAGACAAATTTAAGATCATAACTTCATTCAACTGGAAGACACTTTTAGATAAACTCTTACATGTGAATGTGAACTAATACGCTAAGATTTTCACGATACAGGACATCTCTGTTCAGACTTTAAGAAAGATGAAAAGACAGATGTTCTGCACGGAAAAGTTAGAGACCCACTTCGTCCTTTTTCAGGGGTGTGGGGGCGGGAAAGGTGAAATCTATACTTTTTCTCTTATTATACTATTGCATTTGGCTTCGAGTCCAACTTCAAAACTGAAAAAAAAAAATTTAATGTGTTTGTTTTAGATCAACAAATGCTTGTTTGGTTAAGGGGTGTAAATTTGCTTAGGTTGAAATGATCAGATTCTGATCAAATTTAAGGTGCGGGGACTATAAAGTACTGGTTATCCCATGAAACCAAACACTCAAGAAATGTGTGGACAACCCCAGGGCGTCTGTGGCTGCTTGTCATCGAATTCTATGGCACCATCACGGGTACAGGAAACGTTTTCTCAAGGAGATAACAAAACATACCAACATCATGTGAATTTGTTTTTTATAAGGAAAAAATGGATTTGTGGGGAAAAACTAACATTTTAGAACTGAAGAAATTCCTGCATTTCTTTCTTTATCCTCTTATCTTCCTCCTTTATTCCACTGACTCTTCCACTTCTCTTGATATTTCTCCCTCTTTGCATTTGGTTTTTCTTGCCTTTTCTTCCCGGTGTCCCCAGACTACTCTGTGGTGGGCTCCGTAAGGACTCAAGGCTACTGACACACAGACAGAAACATCCAGGAATGTCACACCTGGGGGAAGACATATGTCAGTATGACATCCTCACGCCCACAAAAGCTGGAACCTGTGTCAGGTGGAAAGCTGTCAAAGGCGGAAAACTAGTATCCACTAAAATGACAACAGAAACGCAGCAGACTGCACCCTGCCAAAGATGGAGAAACCAGTCAGTCCTACCGCGTGTCAACTCCCACAGGCTTCCCTGTACATCGATGCATCCTAACAGAGCCCTGTTGAGCCCACTGAAGACTCGGAGGACTGCATGCAGAACCCTGTACTCTCACTGGTCCTTAGGTCCCAGGGGGTGATGAGCAGAGGGCGTGTTTGTTGAGTGAGGAATGAGAACAAACAAGGCAAATGCAGAGGAGAGCCTGTGGTACTGAAGGGATGCAGGACACTGATCCACTAACCAACACAGGCACCACGGTAGTCATGGTTACGCCTCACTGCAGCTCACTGAAGGAGCTCCATGCCCATCGCCATGGCAAAGGTATGGAGTCCAAGGTCAGGGGCTGCCCAGGGCCCACAGTCTGCCTACTGCAGACAGAGCCAGGAGCCGGATCCAGGAAGGCTGGCTCTAGGGCTGCCCGCTGGGTGGCTGGATTCCTAGGACTGCACAGCTTGCCCTAAGGGGACATGGAAGGACACTGTAAGGAAGCTGGGGCTGTATTGGGAAAGAGGTAGAAGAGGGACAGAAAAAGAAGCATCAGAGAAGTCACAAGAAAGTGCTGACACAAAGTCCCCAACAGCCTGCCGCCCGTCCACACACCCCTTCTAGCACTTTCTTCAGCCCACTGGTCAATACATCTTTCTCTCTACAATCCAGCTGTCGTACAATTTCTGTGCACCGTGGCAGGCCTCAAAGTTTGTGAACATTCTCAGCTAAGCACTGAACTGCAAGGCTGGTTTGACCCACACGGCCAGCAGTTTGAACTCACCAGTCACTCCTCGGAAACGCTACGCAGGGTCACATGAGTCGGAACCAAGTGGACGGCACATGACAACAATGGGAGCAGCACAAACACACAAAGTTTCTGGCTTTCTTGGCAAAGCTGTGTGTCTGTGGGGGGGTGTGGACAGTGTTTCCCTCTACCCTGTGCAGACCCACACACAAACAGGCACCCATTCAGACTCTGCTCCTATTAGGTGCTGTAGAGTTGGTTCCAGCTCACAGTGACCCCATGTGCAACAGAACAAAACACTGCCCGGGCCTGCACCAGCCTCACAATCATTCCGAGGTCTGAGCCTGTTGTTGCAGCCACTGGATCAATTTGCCTTGCCCTTTTTTACCGACCCTCTATAGTCATGTATGAATGATGTCCTTCTCCAGGGACTGGTCCCTCCAATAACATGTCCTAAGTACATGAGACGAAGTCTCACCATGCTTACGTCTAAAGGAGCACTCTAGCTGAACGTCTTCTAAGGCAGATCCATTCATTCTCCGGACAGCCCATGGTATAGTCAATACTTTCTGCCAACACCATAATTCAGAGGCATCCATTCTTCTTTGGTCTTCCTTATTCCTTATCCAGCTTTCACATGGGAATCCGTTGAAAATATCATGACTTGGGTCAGGTGCAACTTAGTCCTTAAAGTGGCACCTTTGATTTTTAACACTTTAAAGAGATCTCTTGTGACCGATTTGTCCAATGCGATATGTTGTTTCATTTCCTGACAGCTGCTTCCATGAGCAATGACTATGCATCCAAGTAAAATGACAACCTCAGTCTTTTCTCCATTTGTCGTGATACTGCTTATTGGCCTAGTTGGGAGGATTTTTGTTTTCTTGATGTTGAGGGGCAATTCATACTGAAGGTTGCAGTCTTTGATCTTCATTAACAAAGTGCTTCAAGTCCTCTTCCCTTTGAGCAAGCAAGTTTATGTCATGCGCATATCTCAGGGTGTTAAGGGGCCTTCCTTCATATCGCTCAGCTCCTGGGAAGATTTGCTCAGCACACAGATTGCGTAAGGATGGTGAAAGGATGCAACCCTGATACACACCATTCCCAATTTCAAACCACACGGTACCCCCTAGTCTACATCCATATCCACCTGAGCACAATGAATTGTTCTGGAATCCCATTCTTTGCAGTGTTCCCCACAACTTGGGGGGACCCACAGTCAATGGAGTACAAGTAATCATATTCCCAGAAGCCCCTGTGGTGCAGAGAGCTAACAAACGCACTTGGCTGCTAACTCAAAGATGAGAGGTGTGAGGCCATCCAGAGGCATCTCAGAAGAAAGACCTGGCAACTTACTTTTGAAAAAATCAACCAATGAAAATTCTACGGAACCGTTCTACTCTGACACACATGACGTCACTGTTGGTAGAGGTCAACATGCTAGCAACTGGTAAACCGGTTACTATAGCCCTCCACACAACTCTCCCAGAGTCCAGTGAAGAACTACAGTTATGCCCCCATGGATCCTAAAGCCACCGACATCCGGCTGGACTCTGCTGCAAACATACCTGCTTCCGGGTCCTGGTTGAAACGGCAGTACTTGGAGTTTTCCAGCGAGGGCAGGCACTGCTCAATGGGGACCCACACATACGTCTCCGGACACAGCAAGTCAGAAGGTCTGTACTGACCCTGGGGAGACATGAAGACAAAGGATAGGCATCACTAACACAATCCCTCCAGTTCCAGGGCTCCAGATGCTGAGGGACCATCCCACTACAGGCCTGCACACGTCCATGAGGCTAGCTTCACAGTCAGAGCAGTGACCCCTTCAGCCAGGGGCTGGCTGCCTATCACAAATGCACGTTTGACTAAAAGTCTCCCTGTAAGCAACTCAGTGTCATTTCAAATGCCTGTGGTGACGTGGAAGATTCACATATTTACTCTCATTTGCAGCAAATACTTAACAGCAAATACTTAACAGGATTCTTGCTGAGCTGAGTACCAACAATACTCAGTTTCAAATTCAAACTCTTTGAAATATGAAAGCTGCCCTTTCATAACAAAATTCAAGTTCTTTTCATGTATTAGAGCATTATATAAAGTGAACATATTTTCTAAAGTGGAATTTCACTGCCCACAATCACAAACTTTTAAATTCATAGACACAGTTGTCACATCCATGCATTTTAAACACTTGATGTATTTAAAAAATACTATCTTCTCAATACACTGCCATCGCCATCTAAACTGATGAATGTATTAAAAACTAACAAAAAATGCAGAAATTTCAGGGAAACATTTGTGGGGATAATTTCCTAAAGCTTCTTAAAATATGTATCTTTAGAAAAAGGACTTACTGGTTTATAAACCAATCATCTGGCCCAACTTTAAAACAAAGATTATGTAATAGATACTGAACACACACACACACAAAACACACAACCATTCACTGACGGGTGGTAGCCAGTTAACAGAGGAGTCAAAAAATATGAGATGATCTAGTGAGAATTTTCAGAAATGTCACGATTATATGTTCCTCAAACTTAATTAAAATTCCAAATGTCTATTTTCTACATTTTATAATTCAAAATTTATTATGAGGTTATAATTTAGTGCAGTGTTTTCCAAACTTTTAATTAATACTTCACTGTTGCTGAGAGCACACACAGCAAAACACACACCAACTCAACAGTTTCTTCATGAACAATCCAGGGACAGTGAGGACACCCCAGGTTGTGCCTCCAGTGGCAGCCCCCTTCTCTTGAGTTGTTCCTCCACCATTCCCATCAACTCACTTCCCCTGACAGTCCCATCTTTCAGATTGTTGCTGTCAGTGTGATCCCAGATAGGTAGTTCTTAAAAGACCATAATGCACAAGGGTGGGCAGGGCATTCTTTACTTCTGTTGTTGTTGTTATGTGCCGTGGAATCGGTTCCGACCCATAGCGACCCTGTACAGGGTTTCTGAAGCTGTAAATCTTTACGGGAGCAGAAAGCCTCATCTTTCTCCTGCGAAACAGCTGGTAGTTTCGAACTGCTGACCTTGCGGTTCACAGCCCGATTCGTAACCACTACGCTACCAGAGCTCCTTATAGTTGAGCTAAACTGCTGTTTGGTTTTAAAAAGAGCTTAAGGAATATTTTTGGTTTAAAGTTTAAAGATTATCTCAGGCAATGAAATTTTTGTTTGAACCACAACCCATAGTAAGAAATATATTTTATGTCACAATCTAGTAAATACACATACAGATAGAAAACTGAGAACAAGCCTTTTACTATGCAATATTTACCTATGGTATAAGGAATCTTGGTGGTGCAAGCTGTTAACTGAAAGGGCCTAGGCTTGAACCCACTTAGTGGCTCTGAGGGAGAAAAGACCTGGTGACTTGCTCCCGTGAAGCTTACAGCCTTAGAACCCGACGGAGCAGTCCTCCTCTGTCATATACAGTCTCACTGAGTCAGAATTGACTCAACAGTACCCAACAATCACCTATGTTACAGGATTCTTTTTCACGTTTTAAAATAATGTCTTCGAACCATCAAAATTGCTCTCACAAACAGCAAATAGATTACAACCCTAGTGTTTGAAAACCACTGATGTAGTGCAAACTCCTTACAAAGACTAGGGCTTCAGGACTCAGCACGGTCCCACTGCTTCCATCAGAAAGGCCCCAACAGCAAGTGGGCTCGGTAGGGAGCAGCACACAGACATACAAACACCACCATGCCCTCCCAGGGTCCAGAGCTCAGGGGAAGACTGTACACACACAGTGTAAGGAAATAAATCAGCGCCTGCTTCAGGGGTTGGGAGAGTTCACGGAGGATATGGAGTTTTATTGGGGACATGGATTAAATTTCAGTAAACTGAAAGGAATGAGAACCATCCAGATGGGAGGCAGAGCCTGAACAAAGATGCAGAGTGGGGCCACGTACAAGATGGCGCTAAGGAACCTGCAGAAACGGGAAGGGATGGAATCTGATTCCAGGAGGCCACGATACCACGTTTCCAACAGTTCTCTGCATGAAATGGGAAGGCTCGCAGGTTGAGTGAGGGAAACTGTGTCCTGCATTCCAACAGGACTAGGCGCTGGCTGTGTATACATCAGGACTCAGGTCTCTGACCTCTTGTTTCCCAGAGGGCTCTCTGCATTGCTGCTGCCTACTGCGGGAGTAGCAACAAGTCACCTGAAGGGGCAGCTCCAGGAAGACCACCACAGGCCTAAGAGGAAAATTCGAAACATGGGATTATTTAGAAGTGAATCAGCAGTTGAGTTGGGAAATATAAACTGTGTGCCCTCAAAATATCTATCAATCAGCTAGGCCATGATTCTCGGAATTACATAACTGTCCTCTGTTTGTGTAATTATCCTATGTGTTGTCTATCCTAACCTCTATGATGTTACTGAGGCACAATGAGAGGGAGTTATCTGAATGAGGGTCAGTGAAAGAGGGAGACCCCCAATGACATGGAGTGACACAGTGGCAGCAACACTGGGCTCAAGTCATTGTGAGGATGGTACAGGACTGGGCACTGTCTCCTTCTGGTGTGCCTGGGGTCCCTGTGACTTGGCATGAACCTGACAACACCTAACAACAGTAACATCTGAATGAGGCACGATGCAATCTTCAGGATTAGGGTGTCTTTGGAGCCAATCTTTGTTTGGAATATAAAAGAGATTAAACAAGGAGCAGAGCAGAGAGAGAGGGGAACCTCGCTAGCTTAGAAAGAAGAGTTGGGAGCAGAGCGTGTCCTATGGATTTGGGGGTCCCTGTGCTGACAACCTCCTAGAGCAAGGGGAAGATTGGTGCCAGGACACATATATGTGGAGATCTCTAAGGGCTGTTGGGTTCACACTTATGGAGACAAAGAGTCTCCCAGAGGTAACAGAGAAAAAAGCCTGTCCTTAGAACTCCTACCCTGAATTCAGATCTCCAGTCTCCTAAACTGTGCGAGAATATACTTCCTGTTTGTGGAAACAGCCACTGGTGACATTCTTATGACAGCCACACTAGAGAGCTGACAGCATCCAATGCAGTAGCAGCTTTACTATTGGGACAGTGCTTTACTGGAGCTACGGGCCAGCATGGTATGATGTCAGCCGTGTGCTAATAAATCTAAGCCCCAAACAGCAGTCTCAGGAGTGCTTTTACACCATTTTCTTCCCTCTGTGCTTACAGACCATATTGAAAATCGAATTCAAACAAACAGAACACACACACAGAAATGTGCATAAAACTTCAAAGGATAAAAGGACCCCCAGAAACCCACTCATGGACCGCCAGTGATCCTAGGTTATGAAACCTAGAGCTTGGGCTTTTATCTTTTAAGAAGGAAAAAGCAATCCTTACTCTTGATAAGGCCCTGCCAAGGGGTAGAGAATGTGAAGAATTAACTCAGAAACAAAAAAGCGTATGGGTGTGTGGGTGTATATAACCTCCCCCCCCACCCCCCACACACAGTCACATAGCTGGTCACAAAGCAATTCTCAACACATTTGAAAACACTGGTATCGTACAGAGGTGTTACGTCTCTGAATAGAAGCAAATCAGTAACAAAAAGGCAAGTAAAATCACATTATTTACTTGAACATTTAAAAACACAACAAAAAAACCCACTTCTAAATAATCCAACAGGAGTCCTGGTGGGACAACGGTTAAGTGCTTGCTGCTATATGAAACGTCAGTAGTTCAAACCCACCAGCTGCCCCGTGGGAGAAGACAGGCGAATGGACTCTGGGAACCCCGGGGGCAGTTCTATTCAGTCCTATGCAGCTGTTATGAGGCGGACTCAACTTGGCAGTACTCACAATAGCAAAGACTCCACAGGGGAAAAAACCCAAAAGCATAATGAAAATGTAGTTGTTGTTAAGTGTCGTCGAGTTGATTCCGACTCATAGCGACCCTGTATAGGGTTTCCAAGGAGCGGCTGGAGTGCTTGAACTGCCAACCTTGCAGCTCAAACCAACCTTGCAATCCAGCGTATTAACCCACAGTGTCTCAGTCACTATACATTTTGGAGGCTTTTTGTTATAAGCTTGTGTTACCCTAACTAAGCAATGTGATTGGTTGAATATAAGTAAATCAATTAGTGTTATTTTCATCTAATTCACAAATCAAAGGAGATACATTTCAACAGATTTTGCAAAAGTGTTTTATAAAATCCAATACTCATTCAAGAAGAATACTCTTTAGCAGAAGGGATCATATTCTTGGAGGACATCAAGTCTACTGGTGTAGATGAGGCTTTTTGCTCCTGAGAAGATGTAAAGCCTCTGAAACCCTGTACAGGGTCACTACTAACTGACTCGATGGCACTCACCGACAGTAAGATGGAACTGAGGAGATGCCAGACAATGTCACAGCAGATCTGAGAATATATCATTTGGTGGGACACGGATATGCTGTTATAACTTTCACCTCCACTACAATAAAAAAGCAAACAACTCTAGCAGATAATGAACAGGAGGCAACTTTCTCAATCTGCTAAGTTAAATATTAAGGAAAAAATATAGTACAAATGAACTTAATAGTGAAAAAAAAAAGTAAGTACTCCTAGAGTAAGACAGGAGTCCTGGTGTGGCACTGTAGGATAAGCACTTAACTGTTAACCTCAGGTCGGCAGTTCATAGCCACCAACTGCTCGTCGAAAACCCTATGCAGGGTCACTATGAGTTGGAACCAACTTATGGAC